TCACCTTCCGCTGAAAGCGCTGAATAAAAAGGAAAAGAGGACGACCTTGAGGAGCCCTGCCCTGGTGCATGTGCAGCTCAACCTGTCTACGGAGCCTGGCTGGGAAATCAGCATTTCCCTTTGTCCCGAGCTCAGTCCATGCAATTACGAAGCCTGCCAGCTGTGGGTCCTGCTTCCCTCGGGATGCTCCTGCCTGGAAATCAGATGCAGGCAGTTAGAGAAGAGCAAACGTCACCTCTTAGGCAGCATTTATCAAAGCCCAAGCAAAAGTGCTGATACTAACGCCAAAAAGGCCAAGCCCAACAAGTAAGACTGAATCTATTCTTAAGCAGCTGAAATAAGGAGGAGAAATCAACTGTATCGCGGAGTAATATTGTGATTAATATTTTTTCTTCTGAGCTAATATTGCTTTTCTTTTTTGAACGGAGTCTAATTCACAATTCAGATTTGCTGGGTGTCTTCCAAGTAAACGCAACATGAAAAATGTTTTTATCTTTACTCTTCTTCCCTGAGGGCAGCATAATTGCGTCCAAGAAGAAGCGATTCCTGAGGGCAGATTTAAGCAACTCTATTAGCTCTTCTAAGAGCAACCCTAAGCAATAACTAAGGGAAAGGGAGGGAAGGAGAATGCAGATTTCCAGCCATCTCCATGGATAATTCTCCCCCTGCCTGTGCCACACGCAAACGGTGCAAAGACATTTCCCAGCAAAGTCTCTTTTCTGCAGAGCCCCCGTCACGCAGGTGGAAAAACAGCCGAGACATTTTGCATGGGAAAAAGACAGTGGCAACACCCACAAATAGGGAGGAAAAGCCAGAAAATGCGAAAAAGCGGTACATTTTGTAAAGAAAAAGGGGGAAACTCCGCGGCAACTTCAGCTCCCCCGCACCAAGGCGAGCGCRATGCTGCAGCGCTTGCTCTTGTCGCTGCTTTCGGCAGGACGGTGCAAGCGCCGGCTGTTCCTCCCCGCGGCCTGTGCGTGCGATTGTTCCCAAGCACTTGGGCATGAAAAGCAAGGCCGTGGCACCAGGGGTGTCACCGGGGGTGACAGGGCCCCGCGACGCGGCCATGGGAAAGGCCGGGCCGCCCGCGGAGCCGCTTCAGCCCCCGCGAAACTCCACAGCGCGAAGGCGACTCCAAAACCCCACCAAGGGGAAGAAAAAATTGTCATTTCTTCTGCGCTCCCAAAGTGGAATACCAATATTCCACCAAAGTGGAATATAAATACAGGCCTGTGTCCGCACTTAAGGATTTACCTTTATTAAGCAAAGCTTTCTTGGGTTTCTTCTATTTTGGGGAGGGATGAGAGAGAAATAGCTGCAAATCCCGAAACCCGGCAGCTCGTGCCGGTGTGGGGAATGTTCCCAAAACATTCCTCCCATTTAAGGTTTTGGTATYGTTGGTAACCACAATTAATCCTCTCCTTTCTCTCTGACACCAGCAATGACCACGAGGGAGTGAGCGAGAACTCGCGTCTTTGGTAAAACCCATTTGATGTTACCACGGAGCAGGACCTTCTTGGAGGGAACCAGGGAGAGGAGCAGGGAGGAACAGGGTCAAGATGACTATTTTTTGCTGCTGAAATGGATGACATTTAATCCTGCATCTTACAGTATCATTTCTAAGAGTTAACTCATCGTTAGTCAASGGATGATTTACATTAGAAGGCAAAATCATCTGTCCACGGGATCCCAAAATAGAGCTCTGTGCCTGCAGCCTTACTTATGCCCTTTCTTTGGTGTAAAAAACGTATGTTTTCTTTAGAAAACACAAAGTTTTCTGTCCAAAAGGACTGTGCTGGTGCAGAGTGAGCACATCCTGCCTTTGAAAGAGAGGGACTGGAAAACAAGCAARAAATCCTCTCTCTTCTGAGATTCCCCCTCAAAAAACCTCCTCAAAATTTTGCAGCAGAAATTCCATCATAAATATATCCCCCTAAAGAAAACGTGACTGCTTCAAACAAGCTAAATATCAAGTTGGGGAATGATTCATCTGATAAAATGTCCAATGAATCACTACCAAAAKGCCTGTTTTCTTCCATGAGCTAATAAAGGAGAACAGAATGACTGGCTCAGATGGAGACAGATGGAGACTTTGGGCAAGAAACCATAGCTGTAGATTCTCCAAACTTGGATTTCTTTAACTTACTTTTTCCCTTACATCATCAGTTATCTCAGAAGTTCCTGCTTTGGGGCATCTGGAATTGCCTGGGCAAAATCTTAGCCCCGTCCATCACTTCATCGGAATTAGCTGCCTTAGCAGGATACACTCTTGGCAGACAAGACAGAAAGTGCAAAGTAAGAGGGGAGAGACATTTAAAAAGCAAATTATAGGTTCTGAATTATGGACTAAAACACCAAACCAACTGTACTATAGAAAAAAATCCCCAGTAGATCAGAACCTGGAACTTTCTTTATGCTGTTAAAGGCATTAAAGAGACGATGCTGAATACAGTCCCAGGAGGTACTTTCCAAGTGATAACAAAAGCTGGAGCTTGGACCTGAAGAACATTCAGAATCTTATGGGAATCTTTATAACARGTCTCTTAGGAGACCCTGTCTCATTTCTGCATTTTATCTTGATATAAAATTGTGCTAAACTCCCATTATAAAGATTCGACTTGTGAGCTTTGCTCTGCAGGTCGGACACAGAGCTCCAGCTAAAATGTTACATGTCCACAACAGTGTACCTAGGTTCTCTAAGTAGTGAAATTTAATTTTATTTTGCATTGTATGAGCTTTTCTTGCACCAAAAAAAAAACCCCAAAACATTAATCTGTTCTCACTTGGGCCATATATTCTGTTTTTGAAGGGGACAATTGAAAAAAATGGGATAGCAACATAAAATTCACCTCTTCCTTTGGATATTACAGTGCAGAAAGCATCCAGATTACAGAAGCACTTTCTTTTTTTTCACTTGGAAAAGGGAAAAAAAAGGGAAAATGAAGGGCAGTTGGTAAAGCCATTTCCAGGCTGCTGTGAACAGCTTTTTCACCRTGGAGTGGCACTGACTGGAACACGCTTACATCACTGCAATTACGGTGAATAGTCTTAGCAGCAGAAGCCATAAAAATAATTATTTCAGCTCACATCTTTGTTAATTTCCCTTCATTTCCACTCAAAGACGGATGATATAACTTAGAAACCTTGATATTTGAAAAAAAAATGCATTAAGAGATTTGTCCAGACTGACATTACTCACTCACCCCCCTGAATTGCTCACTGTGGCAAACGTGTTTAAATTGAGATCCCGGCCAGCGCCTCTCCCCTGCAGAGGAGGAAGGGCAAGGAAATGTCTTCATCGCATGGGGCTCGTTGCACACACACTGCGTACCCCAGCCTGCTCAAAACTCCAAAGAGCTTTGCTCTGCTATGACAAAAGCTGATATTCAAGCACTGGATATGAAGTTAAATAAAGCAAATGCTTAAAAAGCTTGAAATTATCCCCCTATTTTAATAACTTATTTTGCTAGCACTATCCAAGGATAAAATGTTTTTTTTTCCTCCCACTGCCTTGAAAATCTGTTTCAATTATAAGTCTGGAGAGTTTAATTGGGGGAGCATGTTTAGCTGAAGAAAAAATTGGAAGGGTTAGAATAAAAACCCTTCTAACACTCCCTAGGGTCTCTGGGTCCTTCAACCCAATTTGATGTGAATGAAACCATTATTGTGCTTTTGATTCCCGCTGCGCCATTATGTTAATGGCTTTCGAGAGATCTGAGTAGCCTTTTCCTATGTGTTTTCATTGTTCGCTGTCCAGGATTTRGTCCTTAAATATTGGAAGATTTCATGTTTAAAATAGTTTTTTTTGTTCTACATTTGGAGATATCCCAAATTTCTAAACACACTTCAGCTTGGTGTATATGGATATTATAAATTAACTAAGTAAAAAGCACTTGTCCATCTCACTTTTTAAGCATCAATCAATTTAACTACTAAAAGACACAGCAATGAAGAGCAAATCAGGCAAATGAAACTGAATACACCCATTCATAGATATTTCCTGCTATAAAAGTGCTCACACATGGGGTGGGAGGGAAGAGTCTCACCCTAATAAAATGTAACAGAGAAAACAATAAAAAGGGTTAAAAGGTAATGAAAGGATTACTATCAAGCTACATAAACTACTCCAAACCTTTAAGTGATATTTTTATGGCATTAAAATGCTAGCTTTGATGACCCAGCTGGTGTTTTAACTGYTTCAGATCCACAGTATCACCATTTTTATACCACTCTGTGCAGCTGCACAACAAATGTTTGGCGTACAAACTCCTTAAAATAAGGTTGTTTTYAAATCATTTGCAGAAAGTATCTAAGAAACAATCCCAAAATAACATGGAAGTAAAGAGCGGACAGCTCGATACGTAGCGCTCGTAGCAGCTGATTTTTCTGTGATAACTCATTTAAACACACTGAGCAAGTCAGCGGAACTTTCTTTAAAGATAAACTAGTGATTTGGAAGCTCTGATTCTTTTGCATCCAGGTTTGATATGGCTGTTTCTGACCCACGCACGGACTGCTTTCAAAMTGAACACAGAACCTGCGGGCCACTCAAAGCAACAGAACAGCTGCAGAACAACAAAAGCTGGAAAAAGGAAACTCAGGCTGATGACATCTCAGCTTAAATATCCTAGTTCCTTTAGAGCAAAGCTTCTAATACATATTTAATAATCAAAAATAAACTAATTAGGGCTTTCTTTAAACTGGTTTAGAATAGTGCCTTCACATCACAWATAAGCACAGTAAAGCCCAGAAAGCCCAGAGCTTATCTATACTAAAAAAGCACTAGGTGGCTAATAAAACCCTACAATTTTCCAACAATACTTACTCTTCTAGAAAGCCAAATGAGTTCACTAAAATAAAATGAGTTACAGCACAAACAATAAAGCAGTTTTCCTTCTTGGAATTGCAGCACTTCCAGTTAGGGAGGACAAGGGCGCCTTGGCACATGCCCTGCTTCCCCACGTTCCGWGTTGCTGAGCGCGTCGCGCTGCTTTCCTCACCTGGTAGGGGCACGGGATGTGATATTCCCGGCAGCGTTCCTGGATCCACGTGGTCTCCCACACGCCTCGATACGCCTGCTCATAGAAATAGCAGCCAATTACCACCAAGAGGGGCACGAGGTAGAGAACACTGAACACGCCAATCCGGATCATGAACTTCACTAGCTTGTCCTGGTTCTCTTTCTCTAACGGGATCTCAATGCGAACGCGATTCAGAGAGATAATGCCAGCTAGCAGGAGGGCAACTCCGACCACCACGTAGAGGCAGAGGGGAGCAAGGACAAAGTATCTTAATGCATCCACGTCATAGAGGCCAACAAAACACACGCCGCTAATATTGTCGCCTTCTATTTTATTCATCGCTAAGAGGATGATGGTTAGAGTTCCTGGAATGCCCCAGGCACTGGCGTGGAAGAGCAAGGCTTTCTTCTCGATCGCTTCGCTGCCCCATTTTGGCACGGCGGCCAAGAACCACGTGATGGTTAGAATGACCCACCAAACGCTGCCGGCCATGGTAAAGAAATAGAGCACCATGAAAAGCATGGTGCAAGCTTTGTTGTGAGAGCCCTGCGTCACCGTGGAAGCCTTGTAGTGGGCAGGGCTCGCTGCGTTACACGCGACTCGGTCTTCGAGCAGAAAGCCAATGAAGAAAATGAGCGACACCATCATGTAACAGACGGCGTAAAATATTATGGGTCTCTCGGGATAGCGGAATCTGGTGACATCGATCAGGAAAGTTAAAAAAGTAAACAAGGTAGCAGAAAGGCAGACGATGGAGATCACTCCGATGAAATAGCGAGCAAAGGAGAGTTCCTCACGACGAAAGTACATATTTGGGCAAGGAGGGGAACAGTCTCGTACCCTCAGGAAAGAGTAACCGAGATCAGGGTCTATTTTCAGCTCCCGAGGACACCAAAAACCATAATCCCTCTGTACTGCCATTGGGGTCTCTTCGGTGGGTTCCCTGGCTAGACTGAGGTCAACGAGGCGAGGATACGGCTCATCGCAATCAGGGAATCTGAAAAGCAAGAAAAATCWATTGTTTACAAGAAAACATACAAATACTTTGCAAAGACGAGAAAACTAACAGCTTTACCCATTGCTTTAGAAACGTTAACTGGAGAGAAGTCAAAAGACTACTGGGCAACTACTGGGTAATCCCTGAAACGCTACACTACAGATCAACAAACTGTAACTCCTTGTCACAGAACGTGGTGGACGTCAAAACTATCAGATAGGAAATCTCTAAGTGTTGAGACTAGGTGCCTAGGGAAGCACCGTCTCACAGATGATGTAAAAAGCTTCCCTAAGCGTCCCCACTAGCTGCTGTCAGGCTGGCGAGTGAGCTCATTAGATGAAAAATCAGTGCTGCTAGCATTAATAAACCCAAGTGATGCTAAATTCATCTTTATAACTGGGCAAAGCCCTAATGCCGGCTGAGGGCACTTTGAAGCAGTGCAGGGGAGCCCGGGGTCCTCTGTCGCAGTTCCCACACTGGCTCCAGCACAATCCCAGCAAAGTTTTGCTCATTTTGCCTCTGTTTTTGAAATTGCACTATGGACATGGCCTTAAAAAGGAGATGGGATGCCCTAAGGGGCCCAGCATCTATCTGGAGCATGGAATTACACTCATTTTTGATGCAGATTATCAGGTCTCCTCTGATTTTTTTTTTTTTTTTTTTTTTTTTTTTTCTAAAGAGAGTTTTACTTGTTTTTCATCCTTTCCTCTCCAGCTGCAAGGGAAACTCTTCCTGTTTGTGCTTCTGAGTTTCATTAGCTACTGGAGTCACTTACAAAAAAAAATAAAGTATAAAGGTGTTGTGCTCAATTGCATGCGCTTTCTGTTTCAACCAGAGTGCATCATGACCTAATACTTTACTGCAAAGTTATCTGTTTAGTGTAAGGCTGAAAATTACTCTTTGTATACAGCGTAAACACCTGGTAGGTCCTCTAAAAATACAGCTTCGAGATTGATACTCTCACCAAAAACTGCCGGCATCCCTATAGAAAAGAGGTTATTGATATCTGGTAAAAGCAATGTTGCACCTCAGAGACATTTAGAGCAATATCGTGCATTATATTTTGATATACCAGACAGAAACAGGTCAGTAAAGGACAAAGATAATGAAAAATGGATTGATATATTCATTTTTATATAGAAGGATATGCACACTGCGTTTACAGTAGTTGCCTATAGAAAATTTCAATTCATCTTTTGGGCAGATGATAGAAATATGAACTCAGTTTCCTCCGCAGGAAACATTACACAAACAGAAAGGAAAATGGGGGCATTTGTCACAGAACGTATCACATTTAAAATATTCTATGCTGGGATTCAGAAAAAACAACCTGCTCACCTGGTGCACTCCATATCCTCGGGCCAGGGGACCCCAAACATCTCCATGAGTTTGGAGCACTCGCTGTAGGCCCGCTGGCAAAGCCGGCGACACGGGAGCGTGACCCGGCCGTACTCCATGCACACCGGAGCGTAGAGGGCACACAGGAAGGGCCGGAAATCCCTGGAGCATTCCAGATTCACCATCGGGTGAAAGGGCTAGGAGAGAAGAGAGAAAATTCAATGGCTACAGAGAGCAACTCTATAGGCTGCTCCAACAGGAAGCTGTGATTTGTCCCATGCCTTTTCCCTAGGACTTCTAGTCACGAATTCATCCTTCTTGTTGAACTTTGCCTGTTGGAAGGAGTTGTGACCATCAGAACGCAGCACTTAGGCRTTTTAGGAAGACACACAGTCAAAAAGACTGGGGACAAAGGCACAGATTCACAAGGGAGATTTCTGTACTTGATTTGCATTAATAGCAACGGGAATTAGACGTGAACACCCCTGAGGATGCCGGCTTTGCTTCCCACTCTCCAATAAAAGTCATGGGGACTTGATGCCTGTTACTGGTGATTTAAATGACAGACACATCAGGAATTGCTCGTTGCTTCTTCAGTGGCATGACATGCAGACTTGCATTCTGCTGATGACATTACAATCTGAGAAATTATAAATAATTTACAATGCCTTCACAGCATAGATATGATTATTTCAATACTATTTTCAGTCTGCTACCCCAAAACTCTCAAATCATCTCAAATCACCTCTATTTCTTTAGCAGAGTTGGATCTATGATTTTGATTGTTTCTACAAAATGCAAACWGGAGATTTTCCAGGTCATTCTTCCCACATCATCTTGCCCAGATCCATCAGTTAAAACCTCTGTTTCATCATCGGAGTGTATTTGTAGACCAAAAAGAGCCCTAAAATACGTGCTGTGACTGCTGCTAATTAAACTCTCAAACCAACATAAATCTTCTGAGCTTCCACAAGCAAAAAGAAAAAAAATGGGCAAAATAAATATGTTTGCTACACATTTTTGAACACGTTTGTCATGACATGGCAACCAAGCTGTGCGATTCCACAGCAGCTCATGCCAAGGGCAGTGCAAACCTCCCAAGTTATTGACAATGAAGAAGGAAGTGGCAGATGAAAAGTATTTATAGTTCCAAGCTCACTGTTACTCCAGAAACACCTTTTCTGCTTCGCAAAACATTTGCTCAGAAGTATAAATAGCACCTAGCACATAAATAAGATTGTGGCTTGAAAACAAGAGCCCAAGGAATTGTTTCAAAGTAGTTACGATACTGGATATGATGGGCAAAGCATAAGGTAAGAGGTTGTCCTTGTTGGAAAGACAAAATTAAGGGGGAAAAATGTTTTGGAAAGTATCTAACTTTCCTCTTTTCAAAGAGCACTGAAAATAAAAAAATAAAGACAAATCATTACTGCAAATTCTTTGAAGGCAAAGAATCAATGGCTAATCTCCCCCTCGAAACTCTGCTGCCTGCCGTGCACTCCTGCACATACCCAGGCTGAGATTTCAAGTTTTGGCTCTACTCTTCCTCTCCGACATGTTTTCAGTTAGTAAAAAAAAGCAAAGCCCCCAAATTCATTTTAGAAATTTCTCTTCTCTTGTCATTTCACCTTCATTAAAGAGAGCTGCAACATCTTGGTTTGGGTCCATGTCTGCGGTGCTCGTGGTATCACAGGATCCCAGGATGGCTGAGGTTGGAAGGGACCCCTAGGGACCCCCYCAGCGCAGCCCCTGCTCCAGCAGGGACACCCGGAGCACGGGGCACCCGGGCGCATCCCGGCGCGCTGGCAGATCTGCAGAGCAGGAGCCTCCGCAGCCTCCCTGGGCAGCCTGGGCCAGGGCTCGGGCACCCTCCCACCAAACAAGTTCTTCCTCACGGGCACGTGGAGCTGCCTGCGCTGCAACCTGCACCCACTGCCCCTGGCCACCACCCTCAAGAGCTCCTTCCTTCATCCTCCCTTTCAGGTATTTATACATATTGATCAGATCCCCCTCAGTGCCACAGGTTTTCCAAGACTTGCACATGAGCCTGGAAGAAGTGGCACAGAAGAGGTGCTGGAGGAATATGCTAGAGAAGTGCACTTAAGGAGGTGTAAATACACTTAAATAGGTGTCATTTATCAGGGCTGCTCCATTAGCCTTGCCTGCGGTATCCAGGCTAGTTCTGGCTCCTCTCACCCCATTCTGTCCCTCAAAATAACAACTGCAGAGGGGAAAAAACCTCTGTTTTGAATTATATAAAAATCAGTTTATTTTAAAAGCATGCAGTGGCAATACCAGGGAAGGTGGGAAGGAGGGAAGGAGCCTAAAACCACTACTCTTATGAAACTGAAAAAGGGAATCTTGCTCGCTTTTAGCCAGGAACAGCTGCTGCTCATTTGCACCTGCAAGTCTGGAATAAGGAGATGCATAGGGCTTCTTTTCCACATACATATATGTATAAATGTATAATTAATTCTCACTTTTGCTTTCAAAACAAAAGCAATAACTAACTATAATAACTTATTACAGCTTCAGACTCTCATATTTCTGAGAGACAAGAAGCCAAATTTGCCTTTTCGGTTACGCAGCAGTGGTTACTTTGCTGGCTATTGCTTTGGGAAGCGTCATTATAGCAAATTTTAAGCAAAAATGATTTGCCAATCTTTCACTCTTCTGGCTATTTATATATATATWTTTTTTTCCTAAAAGAAAACTAAATGGGAAGCATTCTTGCAAAAAGAAGGGGGAAGCTTTCTCCCCTCAGGCCCCTGAGAGCAGAGCGCTGCTGTGCCTATCAATTACAGTTACAATTCTCCATGGAAGCAAGTGCCTCAGGGCACAGCCTGTGTCAGCGGAGCCACACGATCTGCCCTTGCTCCTGCCCTTGATCTACGCTTGAATTCAGCTCCTTATTCCTCAGGAAGATTCCTAAATTGTGTGGTGAAGTGCAGGGGCAATAACGCTTTGCAGGCCCTTTCTTCATGAGAACCTCAGAAGCTGCAGACACATTTAACCCTTCAGTTAGGAAGACGGAGCATGTTTTTGCCTCCTGTTTTTAATAACTGTAGCTGTTCTCATGTGAAGAGCTGCTCTCACGGCTCTGACAGCAAAGCAGTCCATGTGAATGCTCTTTAGAGTCTCTTTTAAGCACAGTCTTGAGATGGTAGAAATTAGTTACCTGATGGCTCTGAATCGTGCTGGGCTTTGAGAGGTCACTGCCTCAGCTGCCCATCTCTTTGCTGGAGATAAGCTGGTACAAAAACTTTTCCTGAAATCCATRGTGATTTAAGTGAATATCCTGAGCTGGACAAGTGCTGTAGGTACTTTGGATGAGATGTACTCGAGAGTCCTGACGTAGTCCAAGTGATTTTTCTGAAAGATCAGGGAGTGCACGCACAGGCAGAGAGTTTCAATAGATATGGCAGATATATGACAGAAGGCTTCTTATTTTCAATCAGTTTAGCCTTGAGCCAGACTGCTCCGCATTGCCGTGTCAGTGACGGATGCACAAAGAGCCAGGAGGCAGGCAAGAGCAAACCCTTCCTCCTGGACACGCTGCACATCTGCTCAGCTTACAGTGATCGCTGAGTGCTGCTTTATTGCACAGACACTTGTTTCTATTTACAAAGGAATAATTTGCCGGAGCCTGCTTTTAATGCACGATGCCAAGACAAATTTAGCAGGGAACACTTAGCACAGTGTAAGTTCTAACCTTACCTCTTGTCGGGACAAACTGAAGTCTGCTGCTCTGCTGTGCTTTGCAGAGTGATACAGATACRACAAGCAAAATAGAGTCACAGTCACTTGTTTTGCTTTCCAGCATGAAAAAAGGCTATTCTTGCATCTTTACTGTGAAGACTTGTGATCCAGACTGTGGCCTGCTAATATTCTGTGTCCCCTAATTTGATGTTAGATGGAAAAATGGTGCTTGCACTGCACATTGCATTGACACTGCACTACTATAGAGACTGGGAAGTAAGAAAGAAATCGGATTGCTTTAGCTTGGAACTAAAAAATCTACGTGCCTATTTAAATGGATATTAAGTCACTTCARCAATAAAGTGCCACGTAATTAGTACAACTTTTAAATTATACTTTTCTCACAGTATAATAATCACTCCGATATTCACTTCAAACCTAAATCCCTCTGTTTTACCTGGCTTTGTTGTGAAAGCACAGCAATCACACAAACCATCCTAAGCATCCCGGCCTTCAGCTGTAAACACACAGCTGAGGCGAGTTTCTCAACTGTGGGAAAGAAAAAAAAGGGAGGATAAAGATGAAAGTAGTTGGTTAAGACAGCAAATGACATCAGTCTCTGTCCGTATGACTAAAACCCAAAGCCATCTGTTCTCTCCTCTTTTCTTGAGAGGTGCCCTGCTTAATTTTTAGATTTTAAGTTCTTACAGAAGACACCAAAAAGATGGCATCCATCTGTCAGCTTGCACTTTTCCTACCCGTGGCTTTTATGGTTTAGGAACTAACAAACACAGATGGGTAGTCCTGGAAACAATTTCCATTTGCAARAAGTGTTAGTTTTCAGAAGACATGGGAGATGGCTTAGACTTCCTTTTCGCCCTCCCATACGCATCCTGTGATGGGCTTGGGAGAAATCCAAAGGATCGCAGGGAAATAAATACACAGCCCTCTGGCCAGCATTTTAAACAGTATAAAATTTGGGACTGAAAAAAATTTCGGACTGAAAAAAAAACGCACTTGCCTAGACAGGCAAGAGACTGTTGGGCAAAAGCTGTGCTTCTTGATAAAATCAAACCTTTTATCTAAATAACACATTTTTATATCCTGTGGTTGCAAAAACAACCTTCCAAGGATGAGCTGAGCGCACCCAGCGCTTTGATGTCTGCAGGAGAAGGCTCCAGAGCTGTTGTCATTGTGGGAAGGGGGGAAATATCCGGGATGAGAAGTGGGGTGTCAGGGATAAGAACCTTCTGCTTCCTTCAGCTCCAGCAGTGACCGGCGCTCCGGCACTTGCAGGCTATTTCTGGCAGCTGAGGGGAGGTCGGTCTCCTTGAAGGATACCAGGAGCCCACACAGTTCCCTGTTGGCACAGCGCTCAGAAACGTGTCTTGCCGAGGGCAAGAAGAAAAGTATTTGGTGAGAAGATTTGTTAGAAGACTTGGCAGGAACTTGGGAGCATGGAATTGTGTCAGGAACCAGATCAACTTCTTCAGCGCTC